AGGCAATTAAAAAAACGTTTGTAGACTAGCTGGGAGAGAATAAATAAAGAAAGGAGCTTTGTGGGGAGACAGAGCTCTAGCTGGAAGTGAGGTTTGGGAGCACAGTCAAGAAAACTTCTTGTCATTTAATCCCACTGTGCTGGGCAAAACCAAGCTCTTTCTATAGGCTTTGTTAATAAACAGGGCTGTATTCGAGACGCGTATGATTCTGTCACCAGTTTCTCGTTCAGACAGAAAGAATTCAGAAGTCTGTTGACAAACTGTTTGGGTCAAAAAGGGGGAGCAACATTAAAGTGATATATACATTATGACAAACTTGTGATTTTGCCGTGTCTCTTCCTTTACCCTGTGACCTGCCAATGTCAGTTGGTATTCAAAGAAGTTGTAGCACGATGCTTGCAGATCCCTAAACCCAGTTAGGGCTCCTGGAGCAAAAAAGGGCCGCTGTGTGGGCATGGGCCTGCCTTAAAGCCAAGCTCATGGTAAGGCTTGGAGCTTGTTCTGTCTGATGAGCCGTTTCTTTGTCTCCAGTTTCCAAAGTGTTTGACAGGTTAGCATTGCCAGGTTTTAAAGTACAGGACCACCATGTTTGTGCTGAAGCCCAGCTGTATTTCTGCCATCACCACTCCCTTCTGCACCCGACGGAATGCTGTGGAGGCTGAGGAAGGCAGCGGCACCCTGCCTCAAGTAGCCTTCATGCCCTGACCCCTGGTCCTCACCAGCTCCACAGGCAGCTGCTTTTGCCGTGCAGGTTTTAAGGCAAACAGTAAGGGATGGGGAAGCACAGACAGCAGTGGGATTTCCCATTCTTCCTACTCAGTGCCCATATTGCAACAAACAACCCCAAAAAAGCAAACTCAAGCATTGGAAGAGGCTGCTCAGGAAAGTGGTGGAGTCACCATCCCTGGAGGTGTTTGAAAGCTGTGCAGAAGAGATGCTTAGCGACACGTTTTAATGGTGGACCCGGCATTGTTACGTTAACGGTTGAACTTGTTGATCTTAATGGTCTTTTCCAGCATAAAAAATTCTATGATGGTATGGTTAAAATGGAACCAGGATCATGTTTAATTAGAGGATTTAATGTAAGAACAGTTACTGGCTGGAGTAGAAGCTGATTTGATTTTCCTTCTTCTTTTAAAATCATTTTTTGAGTGCATGGTCTGCTTACAGTTACCATGTTCTTATTAGCTTCTTGGTTGCCCTCACATAGATTACCTTCTCAAGATTTTTACATATCAGCTTGCATATTTAGCATCCCAATGCAAGGGTAATTTTGTTACTCCATTTCACTGAGGTCTAAGTCTCAGTGAACGAAGCGTGAGGTGCGGTGGGGATGGCGTCTGGACGATGGCGCTTTTCACGGCGCAGCGCTGCAGGCTCAGACCTGAGGAAGCACATTTGAGTTTTCGGGGTGAGGTTTGCTGTGGCCTTTTTTTGTAGATTGGATCAGCTCTGGGGTGGGTCCTGTTCTCTGGAGGAGGCTTTTAACGTATCATCTGCCTTGCTCTCTGTCCCAGGGGATGGAGCAGAGCCAGAATCTGTCCTCAGATCTAAACAAGCGGTTAGTTGCTGTTCATATGCTTATCAGGTTTGGTTCAAATCCTTCTGGTCTCATTTTCCTGCCTCACCAAAACCCAGTGATCCTCTGTGTGCCAAGTACCAAATTTTTACCTTTTTTTTTTTTTTTTTAAATCCTGTTGAATGACAGTCGCTGGGAAGATAGCTTTTTGTATGATTATAGGCATAAAACCCCAGTGTTACTTACGTCTTTCTAAAATGCAAATATAATTAGGGAGATAGTTGTATAATCTGTTTAATATTGTCTACTAAAATGTGCATATACATAGTATGTTTTAAAACATACCTTATTAGGAAGCTGCAGCCTATTAGCCTAATGATAATCTGAGTGGTTACGATTATTAGTATTTTGTAACTGGTGTTTGGGTTTAGTAGCATAGTAGTAATTCATTTTAAATGTAACTGAATAGCAGGCTTGGACATAAAGTGCAGCTCAGTGTTGTTTTATGCAAACTTCTCTGCAATTAGTCTTTTTAATAACCAGATTTGAAACAACATTTATTTTCAGCATATGTTTTGGGAGAATACACAGAGAGCTGTGTGCAATACAGCAGTTCAGAGGCAGGAAGCAGAAGCGAATATTGCCATTTGCTGTCTTGCCATTTCTCCGAGAGCGCTGCTGGAGTCAGAGCTGTGAGTGAAAACAAAGACCTCTTTTTGAGGTTGCCTTGCCCGTTTTTTATTTTCAGGGCTTGCCCTTTGTGAAGTGAAGCCAAGCCAGCCTTCAGCCCACAGTGTTGCTCCGGTGCTGCTCGCAGCCCCTCGCTGGGGGTGCCCCGTGGGGCGCTGTGGCGGGGGGGGCGGGGCCGGGGC